ACCCCAATAACATGATATTTGATATAGAGGAGTTTAGGATGTGTCACAGAAGTGGATACAGAGAAATAACAAAAAAACTCATGTTACTCATGAACCTGGAACATCCCCTGGACATCCCCTAATGACTGGTCATGAGGGGATGTGTCTCCTAGTGATCTGTCCACCTTCCTGGATAGGACAGGATGGACGATGACCTAGGAGGACAATTCCTCGGGAGGATGTGACCTCGCAAAACCTTCCAGCGGTGTAATGTGTTGTTGAGATCTTGTTTTTTTTTCAAAATCTTGTTTGTTTTAATTTTGAGAGCAAAGTGAAAATGTGGAAAGTCGAAATCTCTAGAGAAAATGATGGGCATCTAGAGAAACCTAAGGAATCGAGGAAGAAATCTCGATAAATCAATTGAGAGTGTCACTATTCTACGATTTTTTTAATCATAAAGCAACTGATTATTTTCAAAACTATTCATTTCAGAATGTCGACGGTATTTTACGATTACACGGACCTATTCAAGGATCTATTTACGAACTCTGTGGAGTATGTCAACAATTTACCATCGCCGAGGTTTATAAAAACCCATCTTCCGTATCAGCTTTTGCCGACTGAAATGCAGAAGGTCAAGCCCAAGGTGAGTGCCGCAAAAAAATTCAATTCGTAGGCAACTTATATATTTTCAATTACTGCACAAAATATTGTGTTTGTTTCGATTCAGTGGAGCGAATGCAATTGCACGATTTACATTTCGGAAATAATATTTATTTGTAGTTTTTACCATATCTTTAATAGGATCAATGAAGGCCGCATTGCTTTTATCTAAGTGAAGGAAGAAAATTGAGTGTCTAAATGTGTTTGAAATTGATTTTTCAGAAGTAGAAATTTCTGCAGACAATAATTACCGGAGTCTTACTTTTTAACCTGTAATTTGTTGCACGATTTGTTGTTTCAATAAAATTATTCAACTGCCCCATCAACCCCCTTTGAAGCTATAGCTACCCAATTTTTCATTCATTCAGCCAAATGTTATTTTTTGATTTTTGAAATGAGATACTCAAGAAAAAATTAATTGTATTTAATACAGATCTTCCTCTGGACAAATACCTGTCTTGATTGACTAGTCTATTAGTTTTTTGTTGTCAACGTTATTGAAAATTTTGTATATTGGTGTACATTGTTTAATCGAAATAGAAGATTTTCAAATACCTCGAAGCCTGAAATATAAATTTCTTGGCACGATCATTTACTTGGTCTGAACCAATCAACTATGTGTGCAAACAATTAAACCAAGCACTTTTCGAAATTTACAAACTAAAGTAGGTATACCCTGAGTAAAGCATCGTTAGCCAATGTTTACTATGCTCTCTCTCATTCAGCAAAATTATCACACGAGGACAAGCAAATGAATATAGCCTGTTATTCATTAAATAGAAAATAATTATACGACTGATTTTCAATCTAGGATACACATAATCGTGTAGTTCAGTTTTAAAGAAAATAAAATACTTTCTGTACTGGGAATTAATTTATGGAAAATATTGTACATTTGTTTGAAGATGATTGATAATGTTTGATGATGAATTTTATTAGTTTGGACTTCCATTGTCTGATATTTTATAAAATGATTTGAAATCCCTGAAAGGACTAAGAATAATTAAAACAGAATAGCTGAAATTAACAATTATATTAAGCAAAAAAACCTGAAATGAAATTACAGTGAAATAAAATACAAGTAAAAATAGAAAATTAAGGAATTCCAAGCCAAGCTACTTCAAGACGTTTCGATTTAATTCACTTGACACTTTTGTACACCTCATTTTCCAGAAACCCCCAAAATAAAAATCTAGAGGTGTCTTGTCTGGTGAACGAGGAGGCTACTCAACAGTACCAGGACGACTTTGCGGATTGTGGAGCGGGACTAGAGATGGATTATGTCTACTCCAGTAATGAAATCCCACAATTTGAAAACCATTTGATATTAATGTAAATAAACCACCGACAAAACTCCAATCGTCTCTCAGGATAACCAGGTTCTAGTGTTTACACTGGTCCTAACTTATGAGGAGAAATCTCATGTTTTTCAGAATTCGTTGAATAACAGACAGCGGAACAGCTATTTCTCTTGATAAATATCTGATGAAATTGTTTGGATTTACCTCAAAGTAGGCTAAAACGTCAATTTCTGTATCTACAAAACGTTTTTTAGTTCTCCTCTTCTCAAAAATGTTTTCATTGTTCCTGAATCGACGATGAAGCACAGCAGGAAAACGCCATTCAGGTAATTCACGATCGAGGAACTTGGCAACTTAATTACTCATAGTTTGCTTGTTTGACCGAATTAGTAGCATCAATAAGAACGGAGTTATCAATGGTGCCGACCTAATTTGGAATACCCTGTATAGTGTGTATGAGTATTGTCTTTATTGCATATTTTATATGGATGAACTATCTATTTGTGTATTGACTAACCTTACATATTTTTTATGGCTGAAAGGTAATATACGAATGGAATTGAATTGAATTGAAGAATGTTCAGAATATATTGTTTGATTTGAAATGAATAATATTCTTGTTAGAATTGAAAGGGATATATTTTTAGGAGAGATTAATTTTTGGTTTGGGGGAGGAAAGTTTTGACTCCTCACTTCTCCATTTTCATACACAAAATGTGGGAGTTTTCCGAAGAAAGGAAGAAAGCATCTAGTTTCAAAAAAGGGAACTCTATATAAAGACCCACACCCTAAATCGGTATGACCAATCAGCTTTACATCCTTCCTGTTGAAAGGACTTGAGAGGATATTTGACGGACACATCAGGAGGGCGGCATTATATGCATCCCCCCTGAATAACCACCAGTATGCTAATCAAACCGTTAAACAACCTTGTAGAGAAAATCTCCCAAATTGCCAAAAACGACTCTCCTCGATAGAAAGACTTAACAGATTGTCTCTGGTCTGGATTTCTGGATTTCTGCAAAGGAGGGTGTTGCAAGCAGCTTCATTGGACCAGAACCTGTCATTGGTATCGCTTTAGGCTTTGCCAAACATTGAACACCTGGATGACAAGAACATTTATGGACTTCTGGCAAAATATTGCAAGATTGGCCCACTTCAAGGCGTTTATCCACCCTTCGAAGCTTGATACCAAACAGTGACAGGTCACTGTCATTTGAATCATCATATGCAGACTCGGACTGTCGGAAGACAGTGTGTGTGTCTCCTTTGTTTGGAAAATGATGAAACAACAGAGCACATACTTTGTGCCCGCCCCGCTGGGGACCGAATCAGGTTCTTAGAGCTCGGCAGAGCCGTAGTCTTACCATCTGAACTGAAAGACCACTCACCTAACCTAACCTATACAAAAATGTGTAGGTCAGACACAAACTGGAAGAAAAGTCATCTCAAAACATCTACCTTCATACTTTTTCTATAAATATGAAGAAGTAGAAAGCCAAAACCGTGATTATCCATATAATATTCTCATTATAAACAGTGTTCACAAGGAAACATTTTTAAACTGAGGATCCTTTCAAATTTCAGATGATCTACATCATGCGGAACCCCAAAGACCTCTGCGTGTCCTTCTTCCACCACTGCAAACTCCTGTACAACTTCAACGTCGAGTTCGAAACGTTCTGCGAGCTCTTCCTGAACAACGCAGTGGCGTACGGGGGCATATTCAACCACTATTTCGAGTTTTGGAACAGACGCGACCAGGACAACTTGCTCGTACTGAAATACGAAGAGATGAAAGAAGACACCAAAGGATCTGTCAAAAAAATCGCCGATTTCTTGGGGAAACCCCTGACCGACGAGGAAGCCGAATCCGTGGTAGACTTTCTGAGTTTTCAGAGAATGAGAGTGAATAGTTCCTGCAACGCTGAGGCCCTTGTGGAGAACATACAGGGAAAGGGCTACTTCGAGAAAGCTGGGGTTCACTTTATAAGGAAGGGGGAGGTGGGGGACTGGAAAAATCATATGTCGGACGACATGGCCAGGAGATTCGATGTGTGGATCGAGGAAAATACAAAAGGGACTGATTTGTGCTTCGATACAACAGAGAGCAACTCGAAAAATATTCAGGAAGAGTAGGTTTCAACTATATTTTGTGATGCCACTTCATATAGGATTGGTGGTGGAATTTCCAAGCAGATTTTCTTGATATCTTATAACTTTATAACGATAAAAAAATTATAAAATCCATATTGTTAGTCAGTTCTACAAGGAAATGGTTGGTTCATTCATTTGCATTTGAAGGAAAATAAAAAAAATACTGTGGCGTCACTATCATAAGAGTCAACCCCTTTGTAAACTACGTTCCAAAATGTGGAAAGTACATGAATGAATATACGACATGACTAGTCAATTAGTACTAACTACTCAATCAAATATCTCTTCGGAAAATTCCAGAGCTGAAGTCATCCTTCCGTTTTTTAAAATGCTTCTTGATGTCGGAACAAACGTTCAAAAATAAATTCGCACTGTGGCAAACAGTCAGAATAACAAAAATAAAGGAAGAAGAATGCTGGCTGAATACGCCTGAATGGAAGCCAAAGCCAGAAACATAGAGAAAGGAAGAAGAAGAAAATTCAATTATGCAATGTGAATGGGTTTCACTGTGTTGCCAAGTTCACATCAAATGTTAGTGACGTCATGATCATTGTTTTTAGTCTATTTTGAAAAAACTACTGGCAAAAAAATTGAAAAATATATTTCGGGGTGCTATTATTCTTCTACTGTTATTAATTTCTTGTTACCATAGTGACTGATATAACTTTGCAAAACTTGAGACTGAACTGGTTCAAATAACTTGTTAGTCATTGGGCTCAACGTTATATGTAATATAAATTGTTTTGAATAAATATCTGAAGATGATGGTGTATTTTTTCAAATATGTTTTGGTTGGGAAAATTCAGTATTATCATAAGAATCTGAATAATTTCGAAAACCAGGTAGTGCTGTTGATCTGTCGTAGGTAGATCTGATGACAGTGGGAGGGATCAAGAGCAAAATTTGTACTCTCAAATTTTTGGTCATACACAAGGATGTCCGGATGTCTCTTTGAATTTTCCCGTACTTGGGTTATATCAGGTAATATCCTAAAGAAACACCAACACAAAGGATATTACCTGATGTAACCCAAGTACAGGCAAATTTAAACTGACATCCGGATGAAAGGAGAGAACAAATACCTGCACTAAGGCGTTCTAACCGTACAAAAGAACAAACAAGAAGATAAAACGATCAGTTTGAGTATTATATGCGCTTGCATATAATAATTAGATGCTATTAAAGCTTCAAATATTTTTTGTGAACGTTTAGCGCATATATATGCGCTAAACTAACTGACTGTTATAAGGAAACAAGTATAGCTGAGGCACCAGTCAATCTAATAATAACACTGATGATCTTCAAACAAGACTTAACCTCTGATATCTCTTCATATCTAAGAAAAATTATTTCCGAATTAATATGTTTTTCGACACAGAAACATTGGTCATGAAATGACTGAGTAAAGAAGTTGAACCGACGTCAAAATATGACGTCTCAGAAAGATCACAGAAATGACGGCTTTTTGGCGTCATATTTTGAAGGACGAGCAATATGACTAATAATGACCTGAAAATGACTCTTTCTAACGTCATCATTCGTCATCTTCAGAGGTGTATACATCCAGTCATCGAACATGACAGAGATGAAGAAATTCCAAAAATCGACGGCCTTCAAACCCGAATAATTGTGATGCCGTAAATCTAATGAAGTCAGACTTTATTGTAGCCTACTATTGAAAAATTGCCTCGTGTCAAATAATCAATAGTGAAAGGAATTCATTCTAAGACCACCAAGGTTTTGAAAAAACCGAATATCTTCACGAATTGTAGTTTCCTTTACCAATCCTGCAGAGTAACAATCATATTTATTATATTTACGCAAAGTCAAGGCTTCACAGAAAAAAAATTGTTTATTATACAAACCATTCTAGTAGAAACTGGAAAGGAATTTTCTCTAAGACAGCCAAGGTTTTCAAAAAACCGAATATCTTTCGCATTGCTTTCACATTGATGAATAACAGATCAGTGTGAAAGCAGACAGGAGTTCTAGCTTCTAGTCATGGATTTGTCGACGCGACTCGCGAGCCCGATAAACAGCGGCTCCCAAAATGGGAATCAAATTCGTGGCTAGCAATGAATTTACCTGAAATTTACGTGATTGAAAACAATTATAACTTCCTATGTTTTTTTACCACTTGTATTTTTACCTAACGTTACTGAAATAAACTGAAATAATTACCAATGTTAACCCTTATACAGTGTGTAAAAGCCAAATGGATTTTTTTTTAAATAGGAAGTATGAGCTTGTGTAGCAATGTTCTTTTTAGATGGTATCCTTTAAAAAACTGTAAATAATTTCCGTGGCAACGTTACTTTTAAACGTCAACTTGTTTTGTATGATACAAAACAATGTTAGTATTTTGATACAAAACAATGTTAGTATTTTAATTTAAGTTTAAAATTCGTTAACTTCAAGTCTGACAAATGGTTAGATTAACGGAATTGCATAAAATAACAGTTTTACAAATGATTGGTTACGGAGATAAAACCCGAACACAACAGGAGGTAGCTCGCCTATTTCATTAGAAATTTCTTAATTTACCGCCCATATCTCAAAGAACAATAAACAAAATGAAGAAGCAGTTTGGCGAGTTTGATCATGTGGGGCAGATAAAAAAGCATCTGCCAATGCAATGAGTGATGAACTCAAATTAGATGTGATGCTTGAGCTTGGGGAAAACCCACATACATGGAGTAGACATGCATCCACTACATTCAATTTTAGGCATACATCGATAGTAACCATATTAAAAGAAAATAAAATGCACCCCAATAACATGATATCTACTCAGGAGCTCATGGAAGACGATTTTGATAGAAGAACTTATTTTTGTGAGCAAATGATGGACATGTTGGATAACAATGTCATCCAATTAGAAGACGTTATGTTTTCTGATGAGGGTACTTTGTCTCTTAACGATCATGCTAATCGGCATAAATTGTCGCTACTGGTCAACGGATGAGTAGATGGTCACTGGATGAGAGAAGAACACACGCTGATCCAGAACCCCTCAAGTTCCAGTGAATACGATATGGTTTCAGCAGGATGGATCACCGCCACATTACCAAGTTAATGTCCGGCAATACCTCGATACAACATTTCTCACTCGGTGGAGAGAGAGGCGAGTATCGATTGAATGGCCAGCGCGATCACCTGATCTTTCATCATTAGATTTCTTTTTATGGGGATATGTATAGAGTAATGTGTATAAAGTACTGATGTGGCTGAAGAAACTGCTAATTTGTGTCCCTACACTCCACCTGAAAAATTTTCCTATACCCAGCCGCATATTATTGAAAAATAAATAAAATTTCGGTCGTTCCTTAGTGCGACTCTGTACAAGCAGCCTTGTCTGGAAGATCACATGCACTAAGCATGATCGTGTTTTGGAGCACTCCGTTGCTCACATGGACAGACTATGGGTCGATTTGGTCATTTGACAGGTTACATCAGCAATGCTTATGCTTATGAATTTCCAAGGAGTCCAAAATATTGAGTTTCCAACCCTTGCTTGCCTAGTGGAAAATTTCGTTATCGTTTAGATTTGGGAACTTGTAATTGCATGACAAAAAGTGGTTTGAAAACTTTGAATCATTTTCACCTTGTCTGAAGGACCTTCCATGTGCTGCATACCGTTTTCAGAAATTTCAGCCACATTGTCCAATAAAAACTATTACATTCTATTACTTGACATCCTGAATTCCAGATTTCTCCATCTTGCCCACTTTATCTTTGGCATTAAAAAGGAAATTAGATAACCTGGGCATGTGGTCTCAACATCAACCCCTATCCTGTAAATATAATTTTCAAAGAAACATTCATAATTCCTGCAAATCTTTTGTGGAACGAGATTTTTTTCTTCAAGTGTATTCATTCAATCATAGAGATTATGTCCTATAATATGTTGAAATATTTTGTCGGGCTGGAAAGCAACCAAATGTGGAAAAGCATCCATGAATACTTTAAGGGAGAATTGGTTCAAGAATCCCAAATAATTTATGACGAGCAACAACATTGAATCATTCACATATAGTAAAGGAGCTTACTTGGAGACTGTCTGGAAATAAAATTATCTGAAAGAACAATTCGTTAAGGCAGTTTTAGCTCACCTACACTGGCTACACCCCTGACTAATACGGGCAGATGGGGCGTAGGCAAATATGTTGTTTGTCGTTCGTTCCAGCCTAGTTCGAGGAATGATACTCCGAAAGAAATTCTACTTTTAATCACGTGAAATCATCGAGTTTATGTTGAACTAACGAGTGGCCAAATGACCCGAAACCGGTCTGCAAGTGTATTTCAATGATTGAAAATCGATTACGGTAGTTGTATGGCCAACAGCATATGCAGGAATTACTTTTGTGAAGAATCCTGCATTGACACCTGTCGAATAAATCCACCGGCCTTCGTGGTATTAGCTAGGGGAGTAGTTGTTTTCTGATAGGCGTCAGTCCGTGAATTGAGACTGGCCTGAACAAATTATTCTTTCAGACAATTTGATCAACATTGAATGATTTTCAATCCTCAAAAAGCATTCATTAATTATAGAATATAGTTGAATTTGCAAGACATTTTGGGTGCCGCTGATGACCGCTCTCGCCACAAACCTATGGCTATATATTCGTAGCTGCCTTTACACTGTTCATTTATTCTTTCCCATTCGAGCAGATATATTATTGAAAATATGGTGATAATAAATAATAATTCTGAGGATGCCGAGTTTGATGAGATATTGGAAAGAGATTTTACTAGTGTTTTTCGGAACGGGTACATCACAGTAGAGGGGGTAACAATGCCGAAAAGATTTGAGGATTTGAAAAACAACATCCGCAATTGGAATGTGAGGGAAGATGATGTGTGGATTTGTAGTTTCCCAAAAACAGGTTAGTGGTATTACTATAAATTAATACTACTGATGGTGGTAATAATGAATAAGTCTTGGCACCCTGCGTCTACTCAGAGCACATGGTTATCAGACCTAATGATCACCCACTCAATGGTGTGAAGAGTGGTCATTGGTTGATAATGCTGGAGCGCCTTCCGAATTAATCGGGGCTTATGGAATAAGCGCAACCTTAGGAAAAATAATAATAATGAGGCGTTTCTTGCCCAGCAGTAGAAACCAATTGAAATAATATTCTTCCAGCTTCGATACACAAATTGAAAGTGTGTGAAACATGTGTAATAACTCAGCATCAACATTGAATATAGGCTTTATACTTATTTTTTAACTCAACTAAAGTACAAGAGAAGATATCACAATAGTCCTAACTATACACATTACATAGATTGGATGTTAGTTTGCTGCCGTTCACAAATAATAGTACATTTTAGTCGAGATGAAAAAAATTAAAGAACTACCAAAAGCAAAATGAAAACTCACAATCATGGAAGTCAAAACTAAACAAAGAGTTCTTTTTGTGTTACAATTATTGGTTCCGTATCTTGTGTTTCCTCTTCGGGCAGAAACCACAGCTCGGATTCGCAGGGGCATGGTTCTTTGAATTTGCAAGACATTTTGGGTGCCGCTGATGACCGCTCTCGCCACAAACCTATGGCTATATATTCGTAGCTGCCTTTACACTGTTCATTTATTCTTTCCTATTCGAGCAGATATATCATTGAAAATATGGTGATAATAAATAATAATTCTGAGGATGCCGAGTTTGATGAGATATTGGAAAGAGATTTTACTAGTGTTTTTCGGAACGGGTACATCACAGTAGAGGGGGTAACAATGCCGAAAAGATTTGAGGATTTGAAAAACAACATCCGCAATTGGAATGTGAGGGAAGATGATGTGTGGATTTGTAGTTTCCCAAAAACAGGTTAGTGGTATTACTATAAATTAATACTACTGATGGTGGTAATAATGAATAAGTCTTGGCACCCTGCGTCTACTCAGAGCACATGGTTATCAGACCTAATGATCACCCACTCAATGGTGTGAAGAGTGGTCATTGGTTGATAATGCTGGAGCGCCTTCCGAATTAATCGGGGCTTATGGAATAAGCGCAACCTTAGGAAAAATAATAATAATGAGGCGTTTCTTGCCCAGCAGTAGAAACCAATTGAAATAATATTCTTCCAGCTTCGATACACAAATTGAAAGTGTGTGAAACATGTGTAATAACTCAGCATCAACATTGAATATAGGCTTTATACTTATTTTTTAACTCAACTAAAGTACAAGAGAAGATATCACAATAGTCCTAACTATACACATTACATAGATTGGATGTTAGTTTGCTGCCGTTCACAAATAATAGTACATTTTAGTCGAGATGAAAAAAATTAAAGAACTACCAAAAGCAAAATGAAAACTCACAATCATGGAAGTCAAAACTAAACAAAGAGTTCTTTTTGTGTTACAATTATTGGTTCCGTATCTTGTGTTTCCTCTTCGGGCAGAAACCACAGCTCGGATTCGCAGGGGCATGGTTCTCATGAACCTCCCGAGGTTTTTTGTGGCAAAAGCTTTCAATCTTCTTGAAGAGCGATTTTCAGCTCTTCGAGAAGTTGTGAGATGATTTTGACGGCTTCGTATACTTTTTCCCCGTTGATCCCAAACATGTTCAATGGGATTCAGGTCCGGGGCTGCAGGCGGGCCACCCCAAAGTGGTGATAACGTGTGCTTCTGCTCTGTGACCTACCTGGACATTCAACACCTTATTAATGTACCTTTGGGCGGTCAGCGATCGGTTTCGAATAACTGAAAAGTCTGTACGATCATTAAGTGTTATTCCACCCCATACCACCTCCAAATGGGACCCTTGAAGCAGCAGGAAATAAAACGTTCATTTCTTCTTCTGTACCCTCTGGCCCGACAATCATTATCAAAAAGAGTAAATTTAAACTCATCAGAAAAGAGTACTTTACGCTAATGCCTTAGCTGCCAAAGTCTGTGTGTTTTGGCAGCTCGTACAGCTTCGTTTAAACTTTGCTACCCAATATTTCACTGTTGTAAAGGAAGGAGCAGACTCGCCTAGAGGAGAAACCAGTTAAGTTCTTTCATTGGTTTGCTGAGGCCGTTCGAATAAAAGTATTGTACCACATAACAATGATTAATTTTCACTAATTCCCTTTTGGCTATTGATGGCTGCCAAACGAATGCCTAACAACGCAGCGTCTTCAAACTTGAAACATATAGATTGTGTATTTTCTAATACAGTGATAATTTTCAAACAACTACCGCCATCTCTAGGTAAGGCTGGGTACTTCTGGGATCACCCTCGTATACATCTCTGATATAAGTTCATTCCTATTTCTTATCACGCTATCCTAGACAAAATTAATTTTGAATATATTAGATATTAAATCTATAATCAACATCTCGGCAAAGTTTTACATTTTCAAGAGAAGTTATTCTTGTGAATAACTGCTAAACTCTAGGCTAGTTTTATAATTAGTTGTGTGCTTTTTAACCGGTTTCATTTCTGTTGAGTGCGAACATTTTGTTATTCGACTGATGTTATCAGTGTTTTTGAATATTTTCTCCATTACTGTTATTTATTGAATATTAATTTGTGAATTTTACTGCGTTAACATTTCAACTTGTTAATAAATATCACAGCAATTTCTTGAGTAGTTGTCGTCCTCGAAAATTTTCGAATTATTTGTACGATTTATTATCAGCAAATACGCTCTGCGAAACTAGTTCTCACTAAATTTTTTTGAAACTCAGTAATTCCAAAGTTTTTAAACCTTACCAGTCTGACTTACTCGTTGAATTGAGCATTTCCTTCATTACAATTATTAATTATTAAGTTGATCAAAGAATGTCACTGCCGGAGATAACTGTGTGAAAGCTATTTTCCGGGTTTTTTGGCCGTGCTCTGCAGATTTTTATGCCTGAAGTTTCGTCTACTACTGCGGTAGATATTATCAAAGGCGATGTGGTAACGTTTACATTGCCAGGGGTGGTGCTCTCTTTGTTCCAAATGCTTCTACTGCGATGTTGTTATTCGATTGTTATTTGTTGTTATTTGATGTTGAATATTGTTATTAGCGGGCGTTACTTGGTTTTTCATAATTGGATTACCTGACCTTTATTATTATTATTACATATAAATAAAGGCTGAGGACAGAGTCCTATGTAAGCATAAAAACGAAGGATATCAACAAGTTAATACAATGCATGCAAAAAGAAAAGAAAAATAATTAATATATGCATAGAGGCGATTAAGCAAATAAGCAAATATCTATTTTGTTTTTGAAACTGTTCATAACGAAGTTGGGTAAGTTGTTCCATGTTTCGAAAATACAATTCACCAAAAAATATTGTCTCTGCCTCGTTGCTAATTTTTCCTTTTTTAATTTGAGTGTGCGACCACGTGACCGCGAATCATTGTTGAAAACAAAAAGTTCTTTCTGATCAGCATAGTTATACTTAGCTATACGGAAAGATATGATGAGGTCGCCACGGAGTCGACGTTGGTCAAAAGCTAGCAGTTGTGCCATCCTCAGTCTTACGTGTGGCTCGACGCTGTACATTTTCCAACAAGTCCCTATCGCGCACCAGAACAGGACACCACACTGGACCTGCATACTCCATGATTGGACGAACGTAGGTTTTGTAGAGTTTTATGGAACTTGAATATGATAGATGGAGGAACGTTTTGCGGATGAGGTAAATCAGTGTGTTTGNGAAATAGACTTGGTCCGATAATCCAATAGGTGGTAGGGTTTCATGATCTGTGATGGCTCGTTGTTGATTCGGAATCTAGTTGGTTCAGTGATGAGTTGAAAAAGGTTTGAATCGGCAATGAAATGCATGAAATTACTCGTGGCGCTATTTGTGTCAGGTATACTATTGATGGGCCTAGTGATATTGGGGTAGTTAAAGTCACCAGCAATGATGAGGTTGTCAAGGGTCGATAGTTGATTTAAGTAACTGATCAATTGGACATTGGCTTCATGGGATACATCATTAGGTCTGTAGATACATACAATATTTATGCTGACAGTTTTCTTGGTGAGGCTGACATGTAAGGCCTCCACGCCTTGGATCACGGCAATATCTTGTTGAACTGCAAACTCGGTTATGATCTCATTGCATAAATATATACATACTCCACTACAGACACGATTTAATCTGTCTGCTTAGTAAATACTGTAGCCTCTTATGTTAACCAATGAATCTGGGTCGGTTGGTTTAAGCCATGTTTCGGTTAGGAGAAGGTATTATGTTGGGTTTGAGATCAACTATGTCACATATGAGTTCGTTAAATTTAGCAGATAATGAGTCTAAGTTAGTGTAAAGAATGATCCAGCATAGATACGGCAGTTGTTGGTTGTTGTTAGAGGTTATTTTTTGTCCGAAATTTGATGGAGGTTATTTTGGGAATGCCATGTATATATTTAATGGTGAGATTTTGTTCTTCTTGTTCGTGTACCTTTGAGGACAGGTAGCCAGATTTTGTTAATGTGCATCGCCTTTTCTTTTCTATTGAAATTTTTGAATTTCTATTGCCCCTCTATATACTCTTGAGTTTTACTGAGTATTACTGTATCTTCCAATGAGATGATATAAGTGCCCTCTTTGTTGAGCGAATCTGTCAGTTTGTCCTAGTCGACGATTTCTCTTGTGCTCAGACAGACGATTACCTATACTAAAAGGCATCCGGTTATACTCCGGGTGTTGCTTAGGGTTCTCTGGGGTCCTTAGGCGACCTTATACTCTGTCTGCTAGTTTTTGTTGTCCTAAATATTGGTTTCACGTCAGGTTTCCCTAAGATTCAACATAGGGAAGGAAAGCTAATCGCTTCACCAGCCTAGCTAGGGTTACTTTGGCCATATTGTCTCCAACCCTCTTTTTATTGCATATCGACTTATTGGAAATAATCAAGAATCCAATATATAGCTTTCCAGACGACAGCACATTTGTCTCGTCATTCCATTTGGATTTCAGGAAATCTTCACCGGCAGCCGGAGGTTGCAGAAGTCAAATATATGATTTCGCAACTGAAGAACAAAAAATCGGCGGGAACCAATGGCTTTAAAGCAGAAAAACTGAAAATTATTGCAGACTACATCACTCCTCTTGTCCATATCATCAATAATTCTTTTGATACTGATATCTTTCCATCTATACTTAAGATATCTACAGTCATAACAATATATAAAAATTGCAATAATACCGAAATGTCTAATTCACAACACAACAAAGTTTTTGTTTCGGGGTTGAAATTAGATGATTTTAATGTATTTCCACGTGTTAAAACCGAAAGTGACCATAAAAATTATATATTAGCTCTTGTTTTCAAGATATAGTATCATTATATTATATATATGTATATTGAGTTTTCAACAAATGAAATATTT